TGCACATGGGCCTCTTCCAGGTTTTTAGCTGCTTCACTAGCAATACTTTCCAGAAATGGTGCATTTGGTATAAAGGAATGCCTCTGAGAATTAAGAAAATGTCAAATTTTGGTTCCATATTTGTAACTTTTCATGTAATCTGATCCCAGATTTATCTAACAGACCTTCACCAACAGACCAGATAATCCTTATTAAACAATTCATAAAATGACTTTTTATAGAGGCTCATCGGTGAGCATAGGTCCCTCTTCACCTATGCTTTTAACAATGTCATCATTTGCTTACAGTGCCCTTCTGCTGTCTACATTGAACAGGCAGGGTGATCCCTATGTATAAGAATGGATGAATGCCAATCTGACATCAGATCCAGAAAGATACAAAGGCCTGTAGCAGAACCTCCTTGGACATTCCATCATTGACCTCAGGGTGGCTCTTCTTAGTGAACCTTTAAAAACCAACTTGAACAGGGAATTGTGGAACAAGAAATCATCCACAGATTGGATTATGTTAAATACAGTTTAAACAGGGACCATGGATTCTTATCCCACTATCTGAATGAGCTTTTGTGACCCTTTTGTTCCTAAGGGCTTGTTTGCTTGTTTTCCTTTCCCAGCCTTGCCCCTATACCCACCATCTCCTTCCTTCCTTTCTGCCTTTTGTATTCAAATCACTTTATTTTATAAGCTGCCCTATGCATGTCCTTTCACACCATCTGATTAAGTGAGCTTGAGCTCACAAAACTTATGCTATATATCTCTGATTTAATTATTCTGTAAGCTGCAGCTCTACCCGGACTTCTGCCTTCCTTATATTGCCATTTCCAGATTTGATGCAAGCCACATCCAAGCTATCAGTGATACAGGGAAGATCCTATCAATCAATCTCTTCAGGGCACAATAATTTATCTAAAACGGGTATCCTTCTTGACCCTACTGGCTTGCCATTCTTTCCAGTGTTTCAAAACTGCCTTCCTAGTACGCAACCCTCCTAGTGGCTGAGTAAGTGAGCAATTGTCAGTAAAATCCATGATCTTTACTAGGAAGCTGCTGATGAAAACATTTGTCATCATTATCCAAAGACACTGCCGGGTATAGTGCTGCTTTTTTATTAGTCCTCTTTTCAAAGACAGCAATAGCTCAAAGTCTGTCAAGTATTCATAGATTCACTCATTTCGTAGAGTCATAGAAATCAAAGGATTTGTTGGACAAATGTCAACTCTAGTACATGAAGGCAAGGACTTAACTTTCTTCAAGCCTTACTTCCTCCATCAGAGACAACAGCATAATATAAAACGAGACAATGACTACATAAAGATATGGCAGCATCTGTTATAGGTGCAGTCTGCACTGATATTTAAAAATTGTTTCTGAGACAAGCAATAAAGGCTGCCTTGAATCTAGTGAAATGTGACCTCTGAGCCTTCACTGTAGAGAATTTTCTGTCTCATTGGTAAATGAGGCCTGGTCCTCAAAGAGCAGATCTTGAACAGTTTTCTGCACAGGTAAGCCAGAGATTTTCTGCTATTAAGATTTATACATGCCCTCAACAGTTTTTGCCACAATCTAAGAGGCACTGTTGCAGTCCAAAGTGTGTGTATTATATAACCTTTTGGTCCTTGGTCATAATAGATTTGAATTTTTTCTTCGTTTCCTCAAGTAGTGCTTCCCCCAAAAATCAGTTTTATCTCAAGTCAGGATAGAGCACTTTGTATAACCAAGGAATTGGCTATCCATATCTGTAAAGTAGATGATGAACAGGACTTGCTGCCCAGAAATAGTCTTCCTTCCTTCCTTTTTTTCCCCCCAGTGCAGCCTGAAGGAATAGTTTGTTGTGATTTCCCATGAACTACATAGAAGACAAGGGCTCAGGGGACAGGATGCTTATAGAAAGATTCAAACCTATTGTGTGGGGACTTGAGGGACACAATAATTTCACTTGGTACAGAGATGTTCCACTGGTTCCAGAATATCTGACATTGGTATTAATGGTATCTGCCCTGTCTGAATGCTTGGTCTGAGGTGGTTTAAAAAGAAAGAATAGTGCCAGGGGTTAATAGCACAGAAAATTTTAGGAGTACAATAACTAGGAAGACTCCAATGTGGAGGTGTGAAAAAAGTCCATAAAGTCATTCACCCAAGAAAGAGAAGTAAATTTTGATGACGAGGGGTACAGGAGTAAACCTCAAATGTCAGTCCCAGTGACAGCAAGATTGAAGCCACTCTAAGCCTAATTTCTTTGAATTGGATAGAAGATAAGTGGAATGGAGAAACAAAATGTGCTCTTTACATGGAGCTGAAGAAGAAAAGGGTGAAATTCACAGGTGCCAAATTAGGTACTTAATATGTAAGTAAGTGTTCAATTAATTTTTAAAAACAGAATTATTTCTAAAAATAATATGATCTCATCCATTGTTGGGGTGCATGGCACAGGAGAAATCAAGGTCAAGGAATCTGAATTTGGGATGGTATGTAGCAAAATGAAGAGCTAACAAATGTTGAAACACCCGGAGGCCAGTGGCAAAGACATCTTCCTTGGTGCTGCATGATTACTCAAAGTTGCCTTGATCCTGTGAAATCATGGCTTCAGCAGACTTGTACTTTTATTTCTTGTTCTCTTTCCTTACCTCTAAAGGAATTTCACAGTGCTGGGACTCCTTAGACCTAGCATACAGGCTCAGTGTCAAAGCCATATATTGCCTCATGGCAGAAGTGACCCTTTCTCATCTTCAGGAATGCATTTGGATTGCAGGATCTAAAGTAGAAGAACCACTAGTGATGGCTTGGACTGACCTCTCTTGCATACTGAATTTATAAGAATAGGGCCTTCTTGGGCATCTAACTGACAACCATCACTACAGTCAATGTGCTGGAATCTTGACACTGAGGGTACATCGATGCATGCAATTAATGCAACGTGATAAACCCCAGAGCAGTTTGTGCCAGAGTACACTGCTCCCAGGAGCAGCATCTACACATGTGCCCAGGACAACAGCACTTTTGAGCCAAGGTGGAGCAGTCCCAGGCTGACAGCTGGGTGCGGGGGGGATCTACCCTGGGCTCCAGGTGCTGGTGTCTGGTGGTGGAGGGCTGGCTGGAGCACGAGAGTGCTGAAACTGCGGAGCTGTGTGGCTGCCTCCCCTGGCCTGCTGCCAGCGCCAGGGCTGCTCCACCCCAGCTCAAAGTGCTGCTGTTCCAGTCACTGTTCACACGTGTTGTAACACAGTAAATGACTCCACTGTAAGACAGTATTGTCAGACAGAACTGTCCTTACAGCGTCTTAATTCCAGCATAGTAATATACCGCGTCCTAATACCAGCGCTTGTGTAGACGGTCATAGTTTCCTGTGGAGCTAATTAGTCAACTCTGCAGTAAAGTATACATATAGATGCACCCTGAATCTGAGATATTTGGGCCCAGAAGACTAAGGCTCATGTGGATACCTCCAAAAGCTTTCGTGGTTTTTTCAAGCTCCATGCAAATGGTTGGCAAAAGCCCTGCATGTGAAATGCCTAACAGGACTGTGTCCTTATCCAAGGCACAAGGTATGTTTCTTTGGCAAACTTGATGCCACTGCAAGAATGGAGGAATTTTCCCTAAGAGAGGAGATCACTGGTGCAGTGATAGGTTTGTGCTCCAAATGAAATGAGTGACAGGCAAGGCTGGGCTACTTCGTATGTCTGGCTGAGTGAGGATACCAAGCGAGAGACATGGCATATCAAAAGACATTGCAACATGAACTTTTAGCGTGAGGGCATCCACTTGTGTGAAATGAGAATCCACAAAAGGAAAACCCAGATAAGCAGTGATAGATATTTGAGTTAGTATTTCATTCACATCTTGCTACGTTTAAATAATGACCTGAAATTTAATGAGTTTGTTTTACTGCTAAAAGCCACATTTGTCTTCTGAGAAAAATCAGTTCAGTTATGAAAACGTGAATGTTCTGGGTTAATAGTGGTTCATTGTATCTCTGGGATTCATACTTCTCAGGCTGATGCAGAGAACAACTTTAATATTTTTCTCAATACAAAAATGTAAGAAAGGTTAAAGGTGCTAGTATTGGAATGATGCAGCAGAACGCTGAATGGGCTCAATGGTAACAGTTTGATGATGGTGTATTTTTCTGAAGAACTTTTTCTTGGTCATAGTGCAAACTTCTTGCTGTGTTCAGAAAGATGACTGGCCAAATTCCTTTCAGTATCGAGCTTTCATTAAAGGTACAGTAAAAGGGACATTACAAACAGAATGCTTCTGAGTGAATGATCAAATTTTATTTTATTTATTTATTTTGTTATTACAGCCAGATGTTGCCTCAGGAAGTTGAAACAAGAAGTCAGGAACTGACAGCTTAATAATTAAATTGGGAAAGTTGGCAGGCCTCCTGCTACTTCCTCTAATACATAGCATCTATGAATGAGAGTGTACAGTATCCCAGTGGCTCTCCTTCAGAACTGGCTCATCTATTACTGGGTAATGATTTTCCGTCCAGGCAACAGCAAAGCACAAGGCCTATTACACCAGCTACATAAAGTTAAAAAGACATTATGAATAAAATGTTCACCATAGCTTTTACCAGCATCTCCACACAAGATTGCCTAATACTGACATGTTTATTACACTTAATAATGTTTCCATAATTCTTCCCTGAACTCATTATAGATGTCAAAAATTGGAATGCAGGTTTGTTTGTTTTTTGCTGTGCTTGTCTCTAAAGACTTTGTAGTCACAGAGCCAAGATAAATTGCAGTGGAGAGAAGACAGAAGACCTGATGTGCAGAGCTGCCAAGACGGAGTGCCAGCCACAGGATTTTACCTGGCGATCTTCAGAACCAAGGTGCTAGCTGAATGGCATTATTCCCATTATCCTTATTTTACAACCAACCACAAGAAGAGCAAGTTGTGGGCTGGCAGAGGCTGGTCTTCACTGAAGTCCCCATCTACGTTTGGATGGAGCTCTGCAAATACCCATTGCAACACTGTTGTTCTCCGACACCCTGACAGCAAAAGGAGCGGTGAAGGTGGTGAACCTTCTCATTTGGAAATACATTGTGTAGGAGCTTTGCAAGGTGCTACAGCAGTACCTTTTTTAGGCTGCTTTATAGTATAGGAACATGCAGTGGCACACTGCTCAGACTCTACAGGTTGCTCTTCCTAAATTCAAACATACTCCAGGCTGCTCTGTCTTACACTGAGAACAGGGACCCTGAGCTGAGCCAGAAAGATTGAGTCTTGTGTTTAGAAAATGTCAGGTTATGTACTATGCTAGCTAATTTGTTTGGGGCCAGAATTTGCATTTTAGTAGGCAGAAGGGTCACAAAGAGTAATGCAGCTATAGCCCCGAGGAGTGATACCTAACCCTAAGTGCTCCACAGCGTGCCCGACACACCAGCAGTCCTGCTGTGGTGGTGACAAGAGAACAGTAGGGTGCTTCTCTCTGTCAGGTGAAATGAGTAGGGAAACACCGTGTATCTGGGTCCATGAAGGCAGTTTTCCTTAAGCGTTCCCAGAAATAACTGTTCTTCTCGTGTTAGTACCCACTGAGATGTTGGGGCTTAAAGCCCACTGTATGGAAATGGGAGGCTCCTCCCTAGCTTGCTCCTGTGGCCACATGGCTGAGGGCAGGTGCAACTTGGTGGTATCTGAACCCCTAGCCTTGGGCCTGTGCATAGGTTGCCCACCAAAAGACTCTGGAAATGTCTAAAGCTCCTGCTGGGGGTGGAGGATGTTTGCCAGTTGTAGGGCCACTTATGGTTCTGGACGGACTCATGGATTTGGCCTGCAATGTGAAAAATTTCTTTAAAAAAAAAAGAAAAAAGATTAGGCTCATGCCCACCAATGGATGCGCCTTCCTAAGCTTCACCTGGCTTTAAACCCAGGGGAGCTGGGTGGATCCAGAGGGGGTGCAGCAGCAGATTGGAGCCCCCCCTCCCCCTCTGGGGGGCTTTTCTTTAAAGTCCCCAAAGCAGGTGAGACTCCTCCTCCTTCCCCTCCCAGTTCAGAGGCAGGTCCCCTCCCTTCTCCTCTCCCACCTCTCCTGCCACTGCTCCCCCCTCCCGGGGACAGGGGACGCTTCAAAGACACCCTCACCTGCTCCGGCTGGGCTGTGCAGCGGGGCTCTGCTGGGAACAGCCACAGGGCAGAGGTGACGGGTTGCCCCTGGGGCAACACCCGTGGCCCATCTCCTGCTACCACTGTCGCTGTCCCTGAGGCTTCCTCCTCGCCCGACTGCAGCGTGAAGGACGAGGAAAGCGGCCGCAGCAGGTGGGGAATGGGGTAGGCGGCCCGGCGGGGAGGAGGAATCTTACCTGCCTGGGGCACTTACAAAAAAGTCATCGCTGCCCACACCAGCGCGCGGGGAGGGAAGGGGGAGCGGGCTGCCCCCGCCCGGCCAGGTCCTGCGGCTCACAGCCGCGCACACGCGTCCCGGGGGCGCGGGCTTTGC